TGCATAAGCAGACTTAAACAGTAAACAGTCTTTTGTGTTTGGCTTCTTTTAATTAGAAAAATGCATATGAGAGTGATCAAAGTTGTATGTTTTCATCATAGCTTTTTATTGCTAAGGAGATTCCATTGTATGGATATATCAGTTTATTTATCCGTGCACCAGTAGAGGGACATCCTAAATTTTACTTTCCTCTATTGATAGTGGTATATAGGTCTAGTAAAGAACACAGGTGAGATTTCTCACCCAATAGGAAGACATTCCTTCTGAAAAGTATAGCTCAGAAGTGTGTCCCTGGGTAACATGTGCAAGAGGTTACATCAGGATATCTTGTCCTTTAAACTATATCTAAAATAGGAAAGTTAATTCTAAGTAGCATACAAAAGGAATAAGAGTTTGTCCTGAGTATAGTTAGATGACATCCTCAGAGCAGAGCTTACAAATATCATGGAAGCTAAGCCATTGGTAGATTATTTTTAAAAAAATCTGAAAAAGTAAAAATTACAACACATAAAAATGTTATAAAGCAAAAGTTCCTTTCACTCTATCCAATTCTAATTCCATAAGATTTACAATTTGCTAGGCATATTTTCCAGATGTTTTCCTAAATTCATTCAGAAACATCTATATATACATACATAGAGAAATAGTTTTGGTTACAAAATGTATTAACAATATATATTATTTTTGCTTTAAATACAAAATTCTGGAAACCATACAGGTCAGAATGTATTTATAAATAAGCTCCATTATTTTAGCAGCTGCATAGTATTCCACTAAATGGGTGTGCCATAACTGATTTACCCATTTTTTGTGGAGGACATTTGAGATGCACCCATTTTTTTTGGTAAATTTGAGTGGGATATAACACATGTACCACATAATTCATCTATTTATAGTGTCTAATTCCTTAGTGTGTACTACATTTAGCTGTATAATCATTACCACAATCAATTTTAGAAATCTCCAACTTCTAACAAAACATCATATTAGCTATCAGCTCATCCATAAGCAACCATTAATTCACTTTGTTGGTATATATTTGCCAGTTCTGGACACCAAATCCATGGAATCACAGTAAATTTAGGCTTCTATGAATGAATCTAACAGTTATCATACTTTTAGGATTCTCCCAGGTTATAGCATATATTAGAATTATTTCTGCCTTTTCTATTTTTTACAAGAATTTGTGTTAATTCTTTTTAAATGTTTCCTAGAATCCACCTGAAAAGCTGTATTACATAATATCTTATAATTATTATTTGGTAGGGTGCATGCCCACCAGGCTTAGGGATTGGGGGACCATATGTGGTGGGATCAAACTAGGGTTTGGTTATGCACAAGACAAGTACCTTACCTGTTGCACTATCTCTCCATTCCCCCCAAACTGTTACTTTAAACTCTACTTATTATAGGTATTTTCAATTTTTCTCTCATTTTTTCTATTGGTTTAAGTAAATATGAAGTTATAAATATCTGTTTACTTTGTCGAGGTTGTCTCCTTTATTTTCAAGGATCAGTTCAGTATTCCTTCCTAATCTTTTGTCTCTTATAAGCTCGATAGAAATTTCCTTCCTTAATTTCTGATTCAAGCCATTTGACTGTTCTTTTTTGTCCTAGACAATCCAGTAAAAAGCATGTCACTTTTATTATTTTTTACAGAACCAACTTCTGATTTCATAGACATTCTGTATTCTTTAAAAAATTCCACATGTTATTTAGTTTAGTAAATATTATATAATGTATAACATAAGTATATATTAGTTTCATGTATACTGATTATTGATATGTAGTTTTTCTCTTCTTTTTAAAAAATAGGAATTTATACTAATAAATTATAAGCTGCATCTGTAAACTTTGTTATGTTTGTATTGATCTATTTACCAAATAATTTTCTAATTTTTGTGTGATTTCTTCTTTTTTGTTTTAAAATGTTTCCAATTTGTATTTGCTCATTTCTCAAAATCTGTTGATTTCACGTGGTCAGAGAACCTATTTAGATTTTCAGTTCACAGGCTTGAGCTATAGTACAGCAGTAGGGCGTTTGCCTGGCATGTGGCCGGCCCGGCCTGCTCGGGTTCGATTCCTCTGCCTCTCTCGGAGAGCCCGGCAAGCTACCTAACACAGTAACAACAAGTCTCACAATGCACACGTTACTGGGCCCACTCGGGCAAATCGATGAACAATGGGAGAACAGTGCTACAGTGCTATGGAAAATGTTTATTCTGTTCTTGATGGGAAAAGTGCTTTAAGGTCTAGATAATTTATAGTGTTGTTCTATTTCCTTACTTATCTTGTATAGTTCTATTTAATAAAAATGGGGTGCTGTGCTGAAAGTAGACTATAGACCAAACATGACTGCCACTCAATGCCTCTTTTGCAAACCACAGCACCCAAACAGAGAGAGAGAGAAAAAAAGGGAATGCCCTGCCACAGAGTCAAAGTGGGATGGGGGGATGGGGGGTGGGAGGGATACTGGGATTCATGGTGGCGGAAAATGGGCACTGGTGGAGGGATGGGTATTTGATCATTGTATAATTGAAACCCAAGCACAAAAATTTGTAAGTCTACAACTGTACCTCACGGTGTTTCACTAATAAAAATTTAAAAAATGGGGCGCTGAATTCCAACTCATTGTACACTTAACTGAGTTCAATTTTTGACTCATATTTTGGTGCTCTCTTTTTATGTATAGACATTATTGCAAGTGTTGTACCTTTCTGGTGAATTGACTTACCAGCAGAGATGTCTTTCTTTCTTTTTTTTTTTTTTTTTTTTTTTGCTTTTTGGGTCACACCCAGCGATGCTCAGGGGTTACTCCTGGCAATGCACTCAGGAATTACTCCTGGTGGTGCTTGGGAGACCATATGGGATGCCAGGAATTGAACCTGGGCCAGCAACGTGCAAGGCAAATGCCCTACCCATTGTACTATCGCTCTGGCCCCAGAAGATGTCTTTCATTATGTCTTGTGATAGTCTACTCTGTGTGGTTTTAGAATAGCCAAGCTATCTTATTTAACAATGATTTACATTTTTCTTCTTAGCCTTTTACCTTCAATCTACGTTTGGTCTAACTCCAATAGATAGTTTAGAGGTCAATCTAGTTTTTTTTCAGTCTGAACTGTTTATTCGTTATTATTAAAATATATGGACTTTTGAGTTTTTTGCCACTTTTTGCATTAAGTATTTTCATATAAAACATTTAAAATGCCCAAATTAGTATTTTATTATGTATTTTAAATTATGTATTTAGTAGTTGCTAAATTCCCTTTCTATTTATACTAACTTGATTCCAATGAGATATAGAAATGTTGTTCCTATATAAGTATGTCCCTTGTCTCATTTTGGAGCATTTTATGCATATTATTCTACATGTTATTAACTCCCAAACACATTGTTATGAAATTATTACTTACTATAACTATGTTCTTTAAAGAATCAGAGGAGAGGAAGTATATATCTATAGCTTAAAAATCTTAGTATTTGGAGGGCTGGATAGTACAGGGGCTAGGACGTTTACATGGATGCCCCCATTTTGATTTCCAGCACTGCATATGTCCTGCTCCCAGGAGTGATGGGATCAGCCAGGAGTGATGCCTGAGTACAGAGACAGGAGTAAGGTCTGAGCACCTCTGGGTAAGGTCCAACCACCCCTCCCAAATTAACCTTCTTATGTACCATTTATTTGTTTTCTTAACATGTTCCTGTGGATTCAAGTGGTCATCTGTAGACATTTGGGTTCAGTAACAATTGTTCCGCCCACCTGTGATGTCCTGCTATTGGCAAATATATTAGTTTTGTAAAGTACAACTCCAGCAATACAACCACATGTAATGTTTTATAAAATTTCTTTTTAAATCAATAAGAGAAGGAAATGAATTTATAATGTCTTTCTAATAATTACAATAATTACCTTTACCCATGCTATTTTTAAATGTGTGAATTAAAATTACCATCTGAAGCTATTTACTTTTCACCTTAAGAACTTCCTATTATATTTCCTGGAATCAAGTTTGCCACCAAAATATTCTCACAGTTATTTTTTTGGTCTAAATGTCTTTTTTTCTATTTATTTTTGAAAAAGAGCTTTAGTAGATATGGGTTTTTCTGCTTGTGAATTTCTATTTCCAAGAGTACCTTTAATGTTATTCCATTGCTACCTCCATTATGACGGATAGAAAGTCAGCTCAATGAGCAAAATCTCATTGAGGTACACTTATTAGTGAAGCTTATTTTTCTGAAGTTGTTTCCAAGAGTTTCTCCTTCTATTTAGGTTTTGGCAATTTTATGATGCGTCTGTAGATTTCTTTTTATTTTATTTGTGGTTTGTTCAGATTCCTGAATGTGCACAATAATGTTTATCAAGTTTGAAATGTTTGTTGAAATTTTTTCTGTTCCTTTCTCTTATTTTATCTGGTACTCCCTACAAAGTAAGTTGTAATGCTCAAGTGTCCTATTGATGGTTTGATATATTTTGTTCGATGTTCTTCATTCTTTTTTTTTCTATCATTCAGTCTAGATAATATTATGTCATTTAATCCTATAACTCAATGAAGTGAGCAGAATTATCCTCACTGAATAGAAAACTAAGACTCATATTAAGTGAGCCAAGGTGACTAAGTAGAAAGAATGGCTGTGAAGTTCAAATACAGATCTGGCTCCAAAATTGTACAACCTTCTCTATACCATATCTGCATTCTATTCTCCAGGAATTAGAACAAACAATTGTAGGGTTGAGGAAAACCTACCTACTTTCGAAAGAACTTTCCCAACCCATTGTACTATTTTCTACTAGCATGCTCCTCTAAAATTAATCTACTTAACATTTAATGTGTATTAGTTACATCATATTTATTGCTTTGAATTAAGTGATGACTCATTGGTAGTGAGCCACAATGAACATGATAAAATACGTATTTTAGCCTAAATACTTTCATTAGAAAAATATATAACTTTTTGGAAGATACTTATAATGGGAAAACATTCATTAAATATGTGGAATGACTTATGAAACTTATGAAAATATGTTATCACTGTTGATTTTCATTTCATCTGTTGATGTTTAGGCCTGGGGTCCTAGTCTTTTATTTGATAAGTGAATAAAATTAAGGATAAATGGGCTCAAATGAAGAAACAGTAACATTTAATTGATGTCTCAATTATGTAAAGAGTGGAGAATCTTGGAAAAACTGTATCTCTAGGGTAAAAATATTTAAGACCCCATATAAAGTTTAAAAAAATTCATTGCAAAATATACTTCATATTTTACAGCAAGAAAATGTTATGCTAAGTACCTTAAATTTCATACTTAGCATATTATCTGTCTTATATACCCTTTGATTATGGAAAATTCTTTCTACCAATTAATTTCAAAAGCTTAAAGGTATTATGATAATTTCATTTTTCTCTGGATTAATTCATTCTCTTCATTCCAAATACATAGCTATCAATACATAAATGTAGATCCGAGATTTTGTTGCACGAAAGATTTCTCAGTACTCATATCTATTCTCTAGCTACCACTGATTTCTGTGGTACTTGTAACAGATGATATAAAAGAAGCAGACTGGAAATCTGACCGTTGTTTTCTGTTCTTTCCAAATTCAATAACCAATATTTTCCCATGTAGAATATATCCATTGACTAGCTGCAATGCTTGCCATGCAATCTCTTTACCTAAAAGAGAAAGGAAAAACAAATAAACACAAATTTTACAGAGGGGTAAACGATTCAATTCTGTTCTAAGCCTAGACTGGGATGTTTAGCCTTGGAGTTAAAGGTAGACTAGAAGCCTATGCAAATAATTTGGTGGGGAGGGTGTTGAGTCACACCTGGTGGTATTCAGGTCTTACTGGTGGCTCTGTTTTCAGGGATCACTCTTGGTGGGGCTTGGATACTCTGTGTGGTATCAGGGATTAAGCACTTAAATCCCTGTGCTATATATTTAGTACTTATCCAGTTTGTTTTATTATCTACTCCATAATCTCAAACTTTTGTGACTCAGCAAATTCAAATTAATGTCAATCAGAAACTTTAAGTGGAGGTTTTAAAGTATTGTATTTCAAAGACACAGTAAAGAAATAGGAATATAGACAGCATGCTAAGGAAGGCTAAATATAATTATCTATTATCCATATATGGGAGAGCCCGGCAAGCTACCGAGAGTAGTCGATATGCCAGACACAGTAACAACAAAGTCTCCAATGGAGACGTTACTGGGCCCGCTCGAGCAAATCGACGATCAACGGGAGGGCCTTTACCTTACCTTATCCATATATGTGAGATTTTATCTTGGAGAAGAGTTTGTAGGTATTGTGAGAATAAAATCACTTTCAAATTGAGTAACACCAACAAAAGTAGTTATGGTACTGAGGACATATTGTTAGTTTTTCTTCTAAGGGGAAACTAAAAGGAGTCCTCATTAGAATAAAAAAGTTTTAAGATAAGAGAAAGAACACATGGAGGGTGCGGGATCCCGGAGGAAAAAAAAAAAAGAAAAAACAGGTTCCAAAAAGAGCCGAGTTCACCCGCAAGTTCCAGATGGAGTAGGTGCCGCATCCCGCCTCCCCCAGATGGAACCCCGGTGACCAGAAGCCTCTACAAACACAGCTCGAGTATGCGGGAACGAGGACCTTTTCTCAAATCTGCCGGACTACACCTCCCAGGTAACCTCTGATTCCGGAAGTCACGCCCACAGCCCGCCCCCCCAGCGCCATCTTTGAAGCCTTAAGCATAAGAGAAAGAACACATGGAGGGTGCGGGATCCCGGAGGAAAAAAAAAAAGAAAAAACAGGTTCCAAAAAGAGCCGAGTTCACCCGCAAGTTCCAGATGGAGTAGGTGCCGCATCCCGCCTCCCCCAGATGGAACCCCGGTGACCAGAAGCCTCTACAAACACAGCTCGAGTATGCGGGAACGAGGACATTTCTCAAAACCGCGCGGCCGAGTAAGCGGCCGCGCGACATCTCTCTATATACAAAGTGATCAATGAGAAGTAAACCACCCAATCTTTCTCCCTGAAAGTCAGAGTTAAGTTTGGAGCACGGCCACAGCCCCAGAAACACAAGGACTTAATGCAGAACCCAGCAGCTTAGAGCAGAAAAGTGAAAGGACTATGCGTTAATCCAGGCCATCAAGTCTGCCAGAGGGGAAAGGGTGTTGCCCCATTCGCCCTCTCTTCTCTGGAAAGAAGGATGGCGGCCGCATGGGAGCCTTGTGGACAGCAGGTATGAGCCGGGGGTGTGGGGGCGACTAAAACCTCATGGGAAGGGGGGCGTTCCGGTCCGTCCTTCACGCCCTACCGAGGTCACCAGTTGCCCCCCACGAGCGGCTCTCCAGCACGGCCACAGCCCCAGAAGCACAAGGACTTAATGCAGAACCCAGCAGCTTGGAGCAGAAAAGTGAAAGGACTATGCATTAATCCAGGCCATCATGTCTGCCCGGAGGGGAAAGGGTGTTGCTCCCTTCCGCCCTCCTCCCTCTGGAAAGAAAGATGGCGGCCACATGGGAGCCTTGTGGACAGCAGGTATGAGCCGGGGGTGTGGGGGCGACTAAAACCTCATGGGAAGGGGGGCGTTCCGGTCCGTCCTTCACGCCCTACCGAGGTCACCAGTCACCCCCCACGAGCGGCTCTCCAGCACAGCCACGGCCCCAGAAGCACAAGAACTTAATGCAGAACCCAGCAGCTTGGAGCAGAAAAGTGAACGGACTATGCATTGACCCAGGCCATCAAGTCTGCCGGAGGGGAAAGGGTGTTGCCCCATTCGCCCTCTCCTCTCTGGAAAGAAAGATGGCGGCCACATGGGAGCCTTGTGGACAGCAGGTATGAGCCGGGGGTGTGGGGGCGACTAAAACCTCATGGGAAGGGGGGCGTTCCGGTCCGTCCTTCACGCCCTACCGAGGTCACCAGTTGCCCCCCACGAGCGGCTCTCCAGCACGGCCACAGCCCCAGAAGCACAAGGGCTTAATGCAGAACCCAGCAGCTTGGAGCAGAAAAGTGAAAGGACTATGCGTTAATCCAGGCAATCATTTCTGCCCAGAGGGGAAAGGGTGTTGCTCCCTTCCGCCCTCCTCCCTCTGGAAAGAAAGATGGCGGCCACATGGGAGCCTTGTGGACAGCAGGTATGAGCCGGGGGTGTGGGGGCGACTAAAACTTCATGGGAAGGGGGGCGTTCCGGTCCGTCCTTCACGCCCTACCGAGGTCACCAGTTGCCCCCCACGAGCGGCTCTCCAGCACGGCCACGGCCCCAGAAGCACAAGGACTTAATGCAGAACCCAGCAGCTTGGAGCAGAAAAGTGAACGGACTATGCATTGATCCAGGCCATCAAGTCTGCCGGAGGGGAAAGGGTGTTGCCCCATTCGCCCTCTCCTCTCTGGAAAGAAAGATGGCGGCCACATGGGAGCCTTGTGGACAGCAGGTATGAGCCGGGGGAGTGGGGGCGACTAAAACCTCATGGGTCGGGGGGCGTTCCGGTCCGTCCTTCACGCCCTACCGAGGTCACCAGTCGCCCCCCGCGAGCGGCTCTCCAGCACGGCCATGGCCCCAGAAGCACAAGGACTTAATGCAGAACCCAGCAGCTTGGAGCAGAAAAGTGAACGGACTATGCGTTGATCCAGCCCATCAAGTCTGCCGGAGGGGAAAGGGTGTTGCCCCATTCGCCCTCTCCTCTCTGGAAAGAAAGATGGCGGCCACATGGGAGCCTTGTGGACAGCAGGTATGAGCCGGGAGTGTGGGGGCGACTAAAACCTCATGGGAAGGGGGGCGTTTCGCTCCGCCCTTCACGCCCTACCGAGGCCACCAGTTGCCCCCCACGAGCGGCTCTCCAGCACGGCCACGACTCCAGAACACAGAAACCAATTTCTTAACTATCTGACTTTCAGTAGAAATACTTCCAGGGTCAATAGGTAAAATAGCAGAAATCCAAAACCAACATTTAATTCTTGAACCCAGCTGTAGAAAGCAAATCACTTCACAATGCTTTTTCAGCATGTCTGATTTGGGGGGGGGGGGTAAACTCTAAATAATAGTGGTGAATCTTTTATTGAAACAATCTAATCAAAGCGGATAGAGTGTTAACTAGAATTCATCTGCCTCACAGGGACGGGGAGGGGTGGGGGGTGGGGTTTTATTGGGGTTCTTCATGGGAAAAAATAAGTATTGGTAAAGGGAAATGTGTTTGATATTTGCATGACTGAGACATAAACCTGAAAGCTTTGTAACCTTTCCCACAGTGATTCAATAAATAAAAAAAAAAAAAGTTTTAAAACGTTATAGGTATCTGGAAGCTTGGCGTATGACAGTATATACAGAACAATATTAAAATTCCACTTATAGGTCTCAAAGGCTGGAGTCAAAAAATTTCATGAGTAGACAAGCAGTATCTTTAAAATAAACAAATTAAAGCCTCTCATAGTTGCTAATATAATGAGCAAAACAAACTATCTCTTTAAAAGTATACCACTTAAGAGTCTTTTTGTTATATTCAATAAATGAATCATACCAGCTGGGGATTTATGACATACATAATTTTCAGTTGCAAAAGGGTACGCACAGGGCCAGATAGTACACAGATCAGTATCTTGAACTGTCTTGAATGTGGCTGTGACCATTTTAATGGTTCAAATCCTGGCACCACATATGATCCACTGAGCACAAAGTATTGACTATCTCCCAGCCCCTAAAAAGAATCAACTTCTTTTGGGAGCCAGAGAGATAGTACAGGGGTTAGATGTTTGCCTTGCACATGGTAGACCTCATTGGATCCCTGGTACCTTATCTTGTTCCTCAAGCACTACAATGAGTGATCCCTGAGCAGAGACTCATGAATATATCCTGAACAATGCAAGATGTGACCCCAAGTCAATAAAATAACCCACATACTTAAAAAAAACCTGAAAATCCATTGTGTAGAGGATCCAAAAATCTTCAATAAGATATATTGTGGTATAAGACTGAATCAAGTGGGGAGGATTTTGGCATGATTCATGTGTAAAAATCACTTTCCTGTATATTTATATTACTAGTATGTTTATACATGATAGCTTGTGGACAATAAAGAAAGGTGCAGCTTCTACCTAGCCTTACCCTCAGAAGAAACTCTGATCTTTCATAGAAATGGATATTCCCATACTATTTTCCCTTTGGTTTCAGATACATATATTAAGATAGAAACAGTACTTGAAAGAATATTATATCACCGGCCAGTTATTCATTACTAGTGAATTAGCATATTTGCTTGCAGTCTCTTAAGTCCCAAAGGAATAGGACACAGCATAATTACAAGTGTTCTGGTAAGAATACCAGTATATTTCCAAGGAGCACAACTATAAATTTAGATAAGTATTAATACTGCCAGCAAAAGGAAAGTAAATTTAGTAAAGCAATAGGAAAGTACCAAGACTGGGCAATACTGAGGATAATGGGGTGAAGTTGTAGTTCACTGTCAAAAAAGGAGGTTTGAAAAGAGGACATGGGGCATTGACAGTATATTTTCTTTACTTCTCTCCCCTTCTTCCCATGTGTATATTCAAACACATGCTTCTTGTGTGCCGGGGAGAAACCAAAGGGCTTGCATTGAAATTGGAGAGTATAGAAGTAGTCTTTATTGCACTGATGCTGTGGATGAGAAATCATTGAGATGAAGTTACTTACTGGGGAAGGTGATAAAGGCCTGCCCCCTCATCCTTCCAGTCATCATCCGGAATTGAATTGGAGGTCCTTTTTTCTCCTGGAACCGAGCGAACAATGAGACAAGATCTCCTTCAGTCACTCGTGGGCTAAGATTCTTCAGGTATAGCACCTAATATAAACCGAGGATCAACAGAAATATCACATGAGGGAGGCAAGGTAGTTTAATGTGGTTAGAATTAGTTTTAGATAAACAAATGGTGGATTGAATGCATGCCATCTAAGTTCATGCCCCCCAGGAAACTCTCTAAAAAATAAGCATTTTTTAAAAACACTGAACCCACAAGGATAGGAAGAATAAGGACACAGCCAATGGCAATATTCTGGAAGCAATGGAAAAATATGAATACACTGGAGAAAGCTGAATCTTTAACCAGTAGTGGGGAAAAGCCAAAACCAACCCAATATATACCTTGAACACCTTGAGAACTGATAGCTTAAGGTACTTCTGGGAACGAATATAAATTAAGTGGGTGATGCTCAGATAAAGCAGGTAGGTTGAGAGCTGTCTAAAAATAATTACATCGTTACATGTATTCCCCTAAGTTACTAGTATAAGTCACTCCCTGGTGAATAATGAAGATGCATTCTCTCAATATGGGGAATACCACAGACAGATGAAGTTGTGAATAGCTTCTGAAATTAAGGAGATAAAGAGCAACAATGTCCACTGAATGCTGAAGGCATCCCAGATATTTCCCACTTGGCTGCTAGAAAGTGGTAGTACCCTCCAAAGCAACAGTTCAGAAGAGTCTTCTTTGAACAATCTGATTAATATAAAGAGGAACGATTGAAAAATTGTGATCTTGACCGGAGAAATTTCTCCAATAAATAAACAAACCAGATGGCTTGAATGTGAATCTCAGGCATGCCTATTCTGTTGTAGTATGGCAACAAATACTTGGAAAAGGTATGAAATTCTACCCCAAGACACTGAGAGTTATGCAAGCTAATGTTATTCTAATAAAAACGTAAAATAAATGAAGTGCAAAGTCAACAAGAAATACTCATATGATGAGAGCTTTCAACTTGTTTTGTCCCCAATTACAAATATGAGCAAGGGTTATTATTATCTGAGAAATACTTCTAATGTGAAAGACAGAGAACACAGCATATGAAAATGAAAACAAGTGATTGAAGAAGTCCTCAAAAACACCATCACTAATGCCTCCAAAAAACAAAAGATGGTATTCTATAGAAACAGGCTGCTATTTAAAAAAATGAATATTCAAGAAAACAAAGCAACTCCTTAATGCAATTGAAATTAAGTTGCTACTGGCTTAAAATAGATTGCTACAATTTTAAGATGTTGTAAGTTAAGTTTCATTGTAACCAATAAGAAAATGCTCTAAGGAAAAGGAGATGGCTCAATGGTTGAAGTACCAGCTCTGTACTAGGCCACAAGTTTGACCCTCAATACTGCCTACATAAGCCAAGTATGATCCTGGAAGACTTGCTGTTTCTGTCTGGCAGTCTTGCTGTCTGTGATCCCTGGTGAGGCAGGCAATTACTGGCAAGTACATGTTTGAACGCCATCATTAAATATGTGAGCCAAGTTAAACACTACCAGAAGTATAGCCAAATGTGCACATATCACAACTAAGCCTGTGTACAAAAGTCATTAGCAATATGACAAGACAGAAAGGAGACAGAGAACACTTAGAAAAGATACCCGAAAGAAAATTATAAAGGAAAGGGGGCTGGAGCAATAGCACAGCTGGTAGGGCGTTTGTCTTGCACGCGGCCGAACCAGGTTCGATTCCCAGCATCCCATATGGGCCCCTGAACACTGCAAGGAGTAATTCCTGAGTGCAGATCCTGGAGTAACCCCTGTGCATTGCTGGGTGTGACCAAAAAGCAAAAAATAAAAAAAAAGAAAATGATAAAGGAAAAAACATATGACTACCCCCCATACAAATATCAATGTAATATGAGGAAGGCTGGAGTGATAGCACAGCGGTAGGGTGTTTGCCTTGTGTGAGGCTGGCCCGCCTGAGCCGGGTTTGATTCCTTTACCCCTCTCAGAGAGCCTGGCAAGCTACTGAGAGTATCTAGCCTGCATTGCAAGTATATTTGATATACCAAACACAGTAACAAGTCTCACAATGGAGATGTTACTGGGCCCACTGGAGCAAATTGATGAACAATGGGAGGACAGTGCCACTGTTCATGAAGAAGGCTGATCAAGAGATAAAAAGAATAAAAGGACTAGAAGAAAGAAAAAAACGAAAATGGCTATATATAATAAGTAACCAACAATTACTTTACAGTGAAATTAATCAATTTCCCTAATCAAAAACATATATTAGCTGGACAAATTTTTAAAAAATTCAACTACTTATGGACTATAAGAAGCTTAGATTGGGAACTTATTATTATGAACACACATACACTGAAAGTGGAAGGATGGAAAAACATCTTTCATGCAAAGGAAAACCAAAAGAGAGGACAAGGGCAACCATGTTTATATCAAATAAAAAAGACCTATATAAAACTGTCACAGAAAATAAAGAACATAATAAAAGGTTTCATTCACCAAGAGTATACTAATAGTATAAATATAAACACACCTAACATCAGGACACCTAAATGCATGAGACAAACATTTAAAGAACTTAAGGAAGCAATAGGCAATATAATAACTCCAATTTCAATACCTTGTCTCCAATAACTGATAGAGCATCCATATAGAAGATCAAAAAGGAAACATAGGACTTGAACAATACTATAGACCTGACATAAATACAAAAAATACACCAGACATTGGCAGAATATATATTATTTTAAGCATAAAGAGAACATTCTCTAGAATAGATTACATATTACATACTCAAGAAATAAATCTGAACAGATTTTAAAATACTCAAATCATACCTCTATTCCCTATTTACACTGTAATGAAACTAGAAATCAATGATAGAATAAAAACAAGAATATGCACAGATATGTGGAAATTAACATATCCTTGAACCATGATGGGTGAAAAAAAGAGAAACCAAGAGAAATTAGCAAATTCTTGAAAAAAAAAACCCACAAAACAGGCCAAAATGTGCGTAATACAGCAAGAGCATTACTAAGTCAGAAACTTTATTTTTTGGGGGGTTCACACAAGGTGTTTGGGGTGCTTAGTCCTAGCTCTATGCTCAGAGATCACTTTTGGTGGTGCTTGGGAAACCGTGAATGGTGCCGGAGATCAAACCCAAGTGAGCTGTGTGCAAGGCAAGAGCCTTCCTTAACCACTGTGCTATCTCTTCCGGCTTGAGGGAAGTTTTACCAAAAATGCCTACATTAAAAAAGAAAAACAACTTAACTCTGTACAACAAATGAAGGGAAAATACAACAAAATACAAAATACAAATGAAGGAAAAAATACAACAAAATTCATAAAATTAAGATAAAAGGAAAACAAATCAACTAGAGCTGAGTTATTTTTGAGAGATTAACAAAATTAACTACCTACCTACAAAAAAGGTGCAAGATTCAAAATAAAAAATAAAACTGATAGTACAGCTGATGACACAGAATTAAAAAGAATAAACCAATAAGTTGGATAACAGAATAGATTACTAAATATAACCCACTAATAATAAATCATAAGATACAGAAAACCAGAACAGCTTTTAACTAGTGATGAGATTAAATACTTAATCAAAAACCCGCCAACAGGCACCAGGCATATAGCTCAGTGTAGAGTGTGTGATTTGCAGGTATGAGACCCAGAATTTAATTCCTAGTACCTTCTTATCCCCACACATACACCTGCCAACAAAGTCTAGAACCAGGTGGCTTCATGAGTGGATTCTGTCAAGTATTTAGTGAGGAATTAATGTGCCGGGGAAATGATTCCATGGACTGGAGAGTTTGCTTTGCATGTGGGAGCCCTGGATTTGATCCTTGGCACCACACTGGAGTGGCTCTAATCACTGAGCTGGAGTAGCCTTGGAGCAATGCTGGGAATAGCACACAAAAACTAATAATTAACATCAACCCTTCTCATATCCTTCAGAAAAACTGAATAGGATAGAACACTCCTAAACTAATTTATGAAGATATCCTGATAGTAAAAGCACAAAAAGTGTACAAGAAAACTACAAGCCAATATCCCTCATGAATTTAGGTTCACAAATTCTCAACAGAAAACTAGCAAAATGACTTCTAAACAATATTGAAACGATGATATCCAAGTGGAAATTATCCCTATGATGCAAGAATGCTTCAATATATGAAGAGCAATCAATGTGATACACCATACTGATAGAATGAAGGGTAAGATGAAATCTAAGAATCATTTCAATACATACATAAAAACATCTGAAAATCTAAGGTTAGTAATTTATCTTCGTATAATAAAGGGCATGTATAAAAAAGGCCATAGCTTTAATGTCATACTCAACAGTACAAAATGAAATGTTTTTTTTTCTGAGCAAGGATGTCAACTCTTATCACTTGCACTTAACAGATTTCTGAGAGAGAGATGGATGGAGGGAGGGATAGAGGAAAGAAGGAAAGAAGGGCAGGAGGGAAAGACAAAGAATGGAAACTAGAAAGGAAGAAGTATGGACATAATATGTCCTACATCTAGAAAATCATCAAGACTTCACAGTAACACTTCTAGAAGTAATAAAGAAATTCAATTAAGGGGCAGAAATTGGTATCAATATGCAAAATTCAGTAGTGTTTCTTTAAAAATGAATTATGTTAAAAGGAAATCAAGAAAACAATTTTACATCAGAATCAAAAAGAATGATAATTTAGGAGTAAACTTCGGGAACCAAAAGAATTGTATACCCTGATGTATAGTGAAATAAAACACTGATGAAAGAAATAAAAAACCCATAAATGTTAAGATACTGTATAGTCATGAGCTATAATGTTTTATGTATGAAAGAATTTCCACATTTCCCAAAGCAATTTACAGTCAAATAATCTTTATCACAATGACAATGGCAACTTTTTTCAGAAATAATAAAATCCCAGAAATAAACTAGAAGATAACATGTGTGATTAACTGATCTTGACAAAGGCGTGAAACTATACGCTCAGGCTCCTTCCACATTGTATAGTACAGGGGGTAGGGTGCTTGCCTTGTCTGGGGCTCATCCAAATTTGCTC